AGATAAGATTTAAACCAGTTAAGGGCAGTGCCTCTTATACCCACAGTATGCTCAAGTCTTAGTAGAAGAATGTTATGGTCCACCATATCAAAAGCAGAGGAAAGGTCCAATAAAACCAGGACCACAGAGCGTCTAGAATCAGTGCTTACAAGAAGGTCATTGAGTGAATGAATGAATAAAAGGCAAAAAGCAAAAACTCTACAGACACAACAAAACTGAATGAATGAATATAAAAGAAATTTTCTTATTTTACTACTCTGTCTATGAACGGATGACCTAAAACAGAGAAATGTCTTTTAGATGAAAGCATGAATGCATCAATTAAATAAAGTAATTGCTGCTGTTTTTGAAAATCCACATATAAATGAATGAATGACGAGTTCGAGAGCCCATCCTGTGTACGGATGAATAAATTAATGAACTTTTTAATGAACCACACAAATTTTGGCATGTTTGTGAAAAAACAAACAAACCATGTAAACAAACCGCAATGATTTCTTTTAGGACAAATGAGTGAATTCATGAATAAATTGTTGTCTAATGAATGTGTGACCCCAAACTGTACCAATACCCTTTAATGAATGAATACAATCCAGGAAACAAAGATAACAAAGCATATTTCTTTGTGAGTGAACAAGTGAAAAAAATAAAGACTAATTAGCAAATATGTTATTTAATGTCCTTTGAATGGATGGCTGAATGAATGAATGAATGAATTACTTAATGGGGAAAAAATAAAGAATGTACTCAAATGGTACCAAAAAAGCATCTTTGAATAAAAAAATGAAAAACTTAAAAAAAGATTTTTTTGAAAGCTAAATGGAGAACAAAGGTTTCATTCAGAATGGATGGATGAGTGGATGAATGATGGATGGATGAATGGAAGAGTGGTGGATGGATGAATGGATGAGTGGGTGAATGGATGGATGAGTGGAAGGATGAATGGAAGAGTGGTGGATGGATGAATGGATGAGTGGGTGAATGGATGGATGAGTGGAAGGATGAATGGAAAAGTGGTGGATGGATGAGTGGGTGAATTAATGGATGAATGGATGGATGGATGAGTGGAAGGATGAATAGATGAGTGGAAGGATGAATGGATGAGTGGAAGGATGAATGGATGGATTGGTGGATGGATGAGGATAAACTGCCCATAAAGAACAATATTTTAGGCAAAGACTGAATAAAAAAACAAAATACAGCGTGAGAATAAGAAGAGGTGAATGAGTGAATCTCTTAAATAAAAACACTCACAGTGTGTGTTTGGGATTTGAACCTGTAACCCTACCTGTGTTGGTGCCTTGCTCGCCGGGCTCCTCGCCATCCATCGAGACGATGCTCTGTCTGGCGTCAGGCTGCTGGCTGGGATCCAGCCCAGAGGAATGGCGGGGGGAGGAGTGAGTCGACGGTTAGTCAGCTCCCGCTGCCTTTTCTCAGGGCTTATCAACAGTGTTTGTCATCGGGTCGGCGTGGTGATACGCTCCCTGACGCCAGTGATTCACACACCTTTTTTATGAGCTAATTTCACAGCAGAGGACAGGAAGACAGGCAGTGAGTGATCCATCAATCAGCTGGGAATCAGCCAGCACAATAAATCACAATAATCGCACATATAAATCACAGCTCTTTGCAGTAACGATCGAGTCGCTCCTGCAGGACGTCTCAGGGCTTTCCTAAAACATCAGCTTCAATCAATAAACAGCCATCACTGCAAGGCCACTGGGGGGACCCGATGAGGGGCTGCAGTAGGAGTATCGCTTACAGTGACAGCACCTCGAGGGCATGTTGGTCTAACACAGCGGTTTCAAACATCCGGCCTGTGGGCCACATCAGGCCCGCGGTGTAATTGCATTCGGCCTGTCAGTATGCGGGAGCCAAATCTTCAGCCCTGCAGAGAATCCATGCAGGCGGGAGCGGGACTTTATTTTGAAAATGGAAAACCATGCAGCCAATCACATGCAGACAATAGTGGTACAGGCCAGGTACACAGGGAGTCTGATTTAAAAAAAAAAATCAGCAAAAAGTGAAGAGATGGGTGAAAACGTAAAATGAGCAGCATCTGGCTGCATTTCAGTGATTTTGGAAAGCTGAGTGTAGAATTTATAAAATTAGGATCTGGATGAAGTCATACCCGTTTTTAGTTTCAGTTATTTCCCATCATGGAGGACAAAAGGTTTCAAACCTCATGTGTGTTCTCACTGCTAGTAGTGAATCCATATAAGCTTTTATGAAAACACTGAATAAAAAATGGCTTCCTTGAAAAAGATTAAATTTACAGTTCAGTGTTGAATATTACATAAAATAAACTAAAGTGTGTTTGAATGGCAGAGATGCAGAAATGTGTGCATGTGGCCTGAATGTGCACCTGAAGCCATTTATTATTATAATTTATAATTCTTGTCTTGTTTGATCTGCTGCTCATTGCAAACAAGCACAAGCAGACATTGGACTTTTAATTGTATTTTTACATGTATTTTTACAGCTTTTCCTACTGATAAAAACCTCCCTCATGGCCATTCATACTACATAAAGTAATTAAGCAACAAACAATTAAGTTACAGAGAAGTTTGCTTTTCACTTTCTATGGTAGAAATTTCTGAAAACAAAAAATTGAACAGTAGACGATGAGCTACCACAACTTTTTCCGTAATTTTGCTGACAAATTTCTTTCTTTGTTTTTATCGTGTAGAAACAGTTAAATAAAGGGGAGTTTCACTGGTCCACTGATCAAAGTGGGCTGTATGTTGCCCTCCATGTAAAACGAGTTTGACAGTCCTGCTCTAACATTTGCAGGATCCAGCCTCGGAGCAGTTTATTAGTCAATCTATGTGAGAGCGAGGACATCCTCCGTCTAGAGTTTAAAAAATGAACAATGTTTTATTCACTGAGGCTCCAAACCAACGACTGAGGTCATTAACTCATCAGGAAGGTGCTCACTGAGGTCACAGGTCATGGCAGACTTCTATATAACCTGAACATTTATCTAACAAGTGGCCATGGTGGCCATCACAAAGAAAGCAGGGTTAAGGCACCTCTGCACCGGCTTCACATTTCAGACCTGGACGGTGCTGTCTCTGGATCTAGATGTTCCAGCGGCATTTTCCAGTTCCTGCTGGTGAAGCTCGAGATATTCCCGGACTAGGTGGGATATATAATCTAGCCCAGCACCTCCAAAGACCTCCAAAAACATGATCTGAACAGCAGGAAGAGCTTGGTTATCCTGCTGTTCCGATCATGGAAGTGATATCGGACAGAGCTGGAAAAAGCTGACGTGCTGCTGGAGAAGCTGATTTGGGTAGTTAGTATCCAACACCTCATTCTTAGGAATGGAAGACAGATCGAGTGACTGGTTAAATGACAGCTTTGGTCCAGTCCCTCACTTTGGGGCTACAACTCTCTCCCGCACAGGTTAGTCATGTTTAACTGAGGCAGATTTGTTGTTTTCAGTCCTGAGGCTCTGAGAGGAGCCTGATAATCACTTTCCTTTGCTTCATCTGGAGACTAATGAGCTCCTGACTCTTCATTTAGTTTGAGAGTGACAAGTGTGACCTGTTGTGCAAGAACCCAGCAGGAAAATCAAGTCTCACATTTCTTCCTATCTTTAACTGCCTTCTCATTGAGAGCTCGAAGATCTGATATTATTAAAGTGTCACCCGAGGCCTTGGGGAACAATGTGTTTCTATCATGTCTATCTGGATCCTGCCATCCAGATTTACTGTCGATTCAGTCGGCAGATTGTGCAACGTGAGCTCGCGGCCAGCTCGACGAGTTTTAACAGTTCTGCGTGTCACAGCCATGTTTTACCAGCGTAGAGGTTTTAAATCACTGCGAGGCTCGCACACGTGTATCATCAGCACTGACGGCAGCACAGGATTCCAAAGAGTTCTCAGGTATTTATTTAAGTAATACTTGTGTACGCGTCACATGTGCAGAATAAACACACCTTCACTTTGTTGTGCAGTACCTCAACGTCTTCAAGTCTTCTTGGGAATATGATCTTCCATCTTTAAATACTCTGCAGTTCTCTGTGCCATTTATGGACTTCCATCGTCATTTCAGCTCTGTCGGGTCTGACGAGCAACCCCACAGCATGATCATAACTCCACCGTGCAAGATAAAAACTGAAAACTAAAACTAGATGTGAGAAAAGAAAACCATTAAAAAATGGACATTTGTGTGTTTGCAAAACATCTAGAAAATCAGCTTTGTGAAGATTTTTCTGTGTGAAAAGAATCCAGTTCACAAACAGTTTCTAAAGGTTGGACTGTTCAGTCTGATTCTTGCATAAGCCTCGAGGGAATAATAAACGGTACATATTTATTTCACTTTATACTGAAAATGTGACGGAGAGAAGAGCTCTTTAAATTCAGAAACCTAAAAGATCTTCTTCACACCAGCTGTGGGGTTTGTTCTGGTTGTTCATACATTTATGGACAAGAAATAAAATATGAATAATTTTAATAAAATCTAAAACAATAAAAGAGGCTCTTAAACGAGTCTAAGAGAGGGAAATTAGTTTTAGTCGAAATCTTTTCTCCCTGCACCACAGATTGAATAATGTCTTTATTCAGGTGTGCTCAGCCCTACGTGTGTCTCTGTGTGCAGGTGAAGGTGTGGTTTCAGAACCGCAGGACAAAGCACAAGCGTCAGAAGTTGGAGGAAGAGTCTCCTGAAGCTCAGCAGAAGAGGAAGGGCAGCCAGCACGTGAGCCGCTGGAGAGCTGCGACGCAGCAGGCCAGCGGCGAGGACGTGGACGTCATCAGCGAGGACTAGAGCGCAGCGATCGCACCATCACGAAGCTGTTGATACACAGAAACACACACATACACACACAAACACAGAAACTGCCCCAGGGTCAGGATAGCTTGAACACACCTGAAGGACTTTAAGGTGTGTTCAGGCACCTCAGAAGGTACACAGCTTTTATTTTGAAAGGCACTCCAGTTCAGTTCTTTATATGAGGTGAAATATCAGCATCAGAACAATCAAATCTGCTTTTCAGACTGTTTACCAGGATATAAATAAGTTCACTTTTAATGGGATTTGAAGTCACATGAGTAAAATGAGCCAGATTTTTCATCCAGGTAAAATAAACCGGGCGGAAGCGCCAAAGCTTTCAGTCGGACGTTAAAACCAAACTGAAGCAGCTTCAGTTCACGTGGAACACAGTGCATCCTTATGTCCGAGAGCCTGGACAGTGAACGCACCACGAGGCCCTCCTCAGCCGTCAGTGTCTGAGGTGCAATGTTAATTATTCTTCATCTGACAGAATGACTGAGGACAATCCCCATGATCTTATTTTGGAAGTTCACTAAATGCTAACTCGCTCGCCCCGCTTCTTCCTGTAAATCACTGCGCTTTTCAAAATTTTAGAGACCCAA